GTCTTCCCTCGCCTCCATCGGGAGCTGGCGCGGTGCGCGGCATTGCAGGCTCTGCTGCGGGTTATGTTCCCTTTGTGGCGACGTCCGCTTCAGAACACAAGCGGAGACGGGAGGAGGAGGAGGAGGAGGAGGAGGACGACGACGAGGAGGAGGAGGAGGAGGAGAAGCAAGGGGAAGGGAAGAAGGAAGCAGCAGAGAGAGCGAGGAAGGGGAGATGGAGAGGGGATGAGGCAGGGTAGGGGAGCGGACCCGGGAGGAGACGCAAGCAGGAACGGGGAACAGGATGCGGCCAGAGGCCGAGCGCACCGTTTTGCCGTCCCCCGGTACCTCAGGGGGGAGCCCGGCGGCGTGGGCGCGGCCAGCCCCACACCTTGGCGCGGGGACAGTCTCGGGGCCCGGGGCGTGCCCGAGGTCACGCCTCGTGCCGTGCCGCACGTCGCTGTCAAGGGCTCCCTCGAGGGCGCGAAGTTATTCGCGCTTCGCGCTTCGCGGTCCTCGTTCCTTCTCCCCCTCCTCCTCGTCCTCCTATTCTCCCTTTGGGGGGGCGGCGCGAGGGCGCGAAGTTGTTCGCGCTTCGCGCTTCGCGCAGCGCGAAGCGCGAAGTTGGGAGCCCTAGCTGCCTCCGAAGGTTTGGGGCATCTCGTGGTCAGCCATTCCGGCGGCATGGGCACGGCGGCGCAGACGGCCCGCTGCGAATCTTGGCCGCGCCATGCCCAAAGGAATACGGGCAGCCCCCCAGCGGAGTGCGCACATCTCCTGCGTTCGTTCGCCCGTCCTCCTTCATCATTGTCGTTTGAACAGGTGCACGGTTGTTGGATGTAATTAGTCAGTGCGTAGTTGCGCGTATGTTCGAGCGTGGCACGCGTAACCAGACTTGCAGCGCACGGCTGGGCCGAATGTTTCCTATCAGAAGATGTTGGAGTCGTTGGGATAGTCGCTCTCTGTGGGTGCGCGACCCGCCACGAGCGCGCCGAGGTGATCAACGGGCAAGTTGTCGTGGGCGGCTCGACCGGTTCGGCCTCCGTGGTGCACGCCAGGCTGACCCGCCAGGGACCCGAGCCGCTAACGAGCACCTCGTACGGCGAGGCAATCCACTTCGCCGTCGACGAGCTGGCCGCCGATATCGGCCCCGCGGGCAGCTTCAGCGCCTGCGCCCCCAGCACCCGCGATCGGCTCGACAAGGCGCTGCGCGCCGCGCAGCCCGCCACCCGCGCATCCCCAGACATCCGACGGCTCGATTTGTTCGAGGCCGTGGCCCCTGGACCCGATCCTTCCCGGGAGGGACCTGCTTGTCGTGCCGAGCCGTTCTCGTCCTGGCCCCCTTCGGAGGCCGAGCGGGCGAAAAGGTCCAGCCGCCTCGACCTCTCCGAGCCGCCACATGTCTGGGTCTTCGGGCCCCTCGTCGGCGCGGCCGTCTAGCGGCGACCCGGGTGGCGACGCTGGCGGCTTCGCCAGGACGCTGCGGCTACGGCAGGGAGAGCCCGCGCCCGCGCCCGAGGCGGCCTCCGGCGGAGAGGGCGGAGCTGCCGGCATGCACACCGCGCTCCACGGGCTCCTCGCCGTGCTGGAGGAGCCCGCCGCGTGGCCGTGGACCGGCGCCGGCGCCGCGCCCGAAAGGGGAGGCTCCTCCACTCCAGGCTCCGCCGCCGAGCCGCACCCCCGGCTCTTCGGCGAGGAGATGGCGGCGTCTGCAGAAGGGGGGTGATATTGATTCTGGGGGCGAGCGGGACGGCAGCAGCCCCTTTTGACCCGAGGGTGCTGAGCTGCCCCTCCTCTCGTGGGAGCCCTCTTGCGCCCTTGGGAGGGGGGGGCCCTCCTCGGAAGCCTTCTGCCCCCTGGCTGCGCGCATGGTTAGAGGGAGGGGGGCCCAGGAGGGGCAGAAGGAAGGGGGCATTCTCAGAAGCCCTCACGGCTTCTCAAGAGCCTGCTCAGAACTTCTCAGGCCTTTCTAAGAGTGCCCTTTCCTTCTAGAACGGCCACCCCCGACTCCTCAGAGGGCCCCCCCCTGCGCCCCCCCCCAATCGTGCGCGCCGCGTCTTCCGAGCAGGCCGCCCCCCTCCCCCTGCCACCCCGTGGTTTGCCTCCAAGAGGAGCGCGCCGTCTCGCAGGACTACACCAACACAGTGTCAATGAGGTTCGCGCAGCTCCTCGACGAGGACGTTGGTACCCGCAGCCGAAGCAGGAGGCCGTCCTTCACGTCAGCGCTCAGTGCCCTCTAGCGTCGATGCCTCCCGGCCCGTTCCGGGAGCTGGGGGGGGGGAGGGAAGGTAAGCGGAGGAGGTCTGGCGTCTGGCAGACATAGGATGGCGATTCTATCCCGAGCTCTCTGGAACGCCCTCAGATCTTTCCGAAGCGCTCTGAAATGGCCAGGGCGCCAGATCTGTCCTCCAGACCCGCCAGTTCTCAGAAGTTCTCGATTGATGTATCCCCGAATTTATCTTGGCTCTATCTCCGTTTTGCGTACTCCAGATTTCGTAATAAAAGGGAGGGGGTCTGGACCCTCCAAGACAAGCCATTTCAGACCCCCCCCCGTGGGAGAACCCTCCTAAACATCGTCCCCAGACCCCCCCAGACCCTCCAAGATCGCTTGGAAGAGACCCCCCCCGAAATGAGACCCCCCTCCCTTTATTACGAAATCTAGAGTAGACGGGGGATGGAGATGGGAGGACGCGTGAAGGGGTAGCGGGGAGAGGCGTTGGAGGCAACCTCGTTCCTCCTCTGTCCTGCTTTGTCCATGTCCTCCCCGTCCCCCGATTATCCCTCCCCCCACCCCGGCGACCTCCAAGCGGCTTCGGCGGGTCCGCGCGTCCCAGGACCCGCCTCGTCAAAGCAGCGTACGACGCTGGGCAGAGTCGTGAATGTGGAAGCCTCTGCCACGAAGCTCGTCTCAATTCACGTGGCCGGCCTGGGCGAGAGGAGCAGCGCGCTTGACTATCCAGCGCGCGGCCTCCAGAATGTCTCCGGTCAGGAGGGAAAGAAACACACAGACACAATTAATCTTCGATTTCCTGGAAAATATTGGGAAATATGGGAAGTGGTGGGGAAGACAAAAACCCAGAAAATATGGGGAAATATGGGGAATATTTTTATTTGTGTGTATTTATTTGTGTGTCCCAGGGCCCCTTCATCCGGTGTTCTGGCAGGCCCCGCCGAGATCGGGACATGTTGCACGAGGGGCCCTCGGAGCGCCGGCGAGGGCCGAGGCCCCCTCCCGCTGCGCCGGCCACGGTGCGGCCCCGGGGCTCTGCCGTGCCTGGGCGTTTCCGCGCGTCCTCGTCTGGCGTCGCCGATCGGGGGCGGAAAAGAGGGGGGTGATGACTAGGGGGGGGTAGATATCATGGCGTCGGCCATGATATTTCCCCAGATTTCATGGCGCCTCTTCTTATTTCATTACGTCCCTGGCCCCCCCGCTGGGCCGCGCACATGCCGCCGGTCATGATTTGCGCCCCCCCCCTCTTGGACACCCCCCTCTTTTCCGCTCCCGAGCCGACAGGGTCTGGGGAGAGGAGGCGCACCAGGAGCCACCGCCACCCGGGGGGGGCACACTGCCGCAGCTTCTGGCTCCGGCCCCCTCCCTCCCCTGCCTCTGGCCTCCGAGTGGTGGCAGCGCGCTGCCTTCAGAGCCCCCCTTGCACGGAGGCCGCCGCTCGCCTCCTCCGGCCACTCCGTTGCCGCCTCCTCGGCCCCCTCCTCAGCCGCACTGCTGCTGACGCAACCTCTCCACAGCAGAGCTTCAAAGGCTGACGAGTCCTGCTCCTGGTCGCCTCTGCCAAGCTGGTGCGGTCGGGCTGGTGTAGTGTTCGGCACTCCAGCTCGAGCCCTCCCCAGCAGGCGCACCACAGGGGCGAGGAATGCTCCCCCCATCCTCAGAGACTTGGACCTGGACCCGCATGTTTTCGACCTGCGGGCCCCAGAGGTTTGGACAAGCTGGCCAACCAGGACCAACAACGGTCCCGATCTGGGCCGAAGTTGGGGAGAAACGCCAGGATCGAAGCAATACGTAGTGATGATTTCAGTGAATGTCGATGCCCAGTGGGTAAGCTTCAAAAGAACAGCGAAGAACTTGGCGTACGAGACCTGGGCGCTTGAGGTGGCAGTGCTGTTTTCTCCAGCTCGTTCTCGGCCACCGAGCGGGCCGGCGGACATGTACGCAACGTCCATGGGCCCGCCGGACGGGGCCTCGCCGGGGCCGTCCTGCCCGACGTGCCCGCTGCGGCCGGGGTGCTACCGCCTCGCTGCGGGGCAGCCTGGCGTGCGGCTGGAGATGACGCTGCGCGCAGACGGCCGCTGCCGCTACCTGGAACGCAGCGGGTGAACGAACACGACGACGACGACGACGACGACGACGACGACGATGACGACGACGACGACGACGGGTGGCCCCAAGCATTCGGCGCCCCGAACACAATTGAGGCGGCCAGATTGTCGTCTCTCTTTTCTGGGAGATCCGCGCGGATTTCTGGGGTCCCCGCTGGACGCCCCCGCCCTCAACCCCCACCCGGCGGCGCCTCTGGCAGCTCCCCCTCACGCGCCTCGCGCGCCAGAGAGGAGGGGGTCCAGAGTGGGGCCTCCGAAAGGTTTGGTTTAGGCCGTTCCCAGCTCCTCTGCGCACCGACCCTGCCCGGGCCAATCCTGGGCTGATCGGGTCGGGCGAAAGGGGGGGGTTGGGAAAGGGGGGGTTACGAAATCTGCTGCATGCAGCTGGTTTCGGCCTCACCGAGGGGCCCATTCCTCGATACATGGGCGCCTCCCGGCGCCGGGAGGCGCCGGGAAAATCAGCTACGCGAGCTGATTCTCAAACCCCCCCTTTGCTATCCCCCCCTTTCGCCCGACCCGAGCTGAGGCTGAGGGTTCCCTCGGCGCCTTGGGCTGGCCCTGGTAAGGCCGGTGCGGTTGTGACACCGCTGGCGTCCAGGAGCAGTGCTCGGGCTGCACGCTGCGGTCGGTGGCGTCGGCGGTTTCCTGGGAGGTCGTGCTCGAGGAGCCGCGCTGGTGGAGAAATCCAGGAGGGGCAGGACGAGCTTCCTCGCTTTGAGCAACAGCTCCAAATTGTAGGAAGATCTCGCGGATGTCTTGGGTCGGCGTTGGGCCTTTCCCCGTCGGCGCCTCCAGCGTCGCCAATGGCGCGCGTTGGAGGAGGGGGCCAACGACAACCAATAGCCGACCTCTGACAGTCTACGTTAATGCACATGACGAAAGCACGGGGGTCGTGACATTCCTGTCACGACTCCGCCTCCTTGTCTCATTCCCGCTTCCTTCTCTCTTTCGTATTGAGTGTATCTCATACTCGCCCACACGCTCACACTCTGACTCACTCATACTCAGACTCGCTCATGATCGGTCTAATCCGATTCAGACCAATTCGCATTCACTCACTCACACCACGATGACTCAAACTCGGACATTTTCACACTGGGATTCTCTCATAACCAGGCTCACCCCCATTCAGACTCACTCCCAGTCAGGCTCACTCACACAGAGATGCACTCACACCCGTGCTCACTCGCACTCATATCTACACTCACATTCAGTCTCACTTACGTAATATCTCACTCACATTCGGTTATGTCGCACGTTCTTAGACTCACTCATTTAGACGCATTCTTAGTCATATTCATTTGCGCTCAGTCGACTCCATGACACTCAGTCTCACCATGCATACATCCACTCACCCACTCATGATCACCGCGATGTAGCAGCCATGGCAATTAGGCACCTCATAGGGAAGCCGCATAGGGTGATGTCACGGGCCCGTTCCCAGATTGGTGGGATCTCTCGAGGGATGCAGCAGGCGTGGCCTTTGGGAGCCCCAGGGTGGAGACCGCCAGGGGGGATATCATGGGCCCGTTGCGCCCAGATCGGTGGAACCTCTCGGGTAGAGTGGCCGTTCTTGGAAGTACACGGGTGACTGTGCTACTGTGGGAGCCCCATGGTCATCGCGATATAGCAAGCATGGCACTTGGCCGCCCCAAGGGTGAACCGCCATGGTGTGTATCACGGTCCCGTTCGCGCGTAGATTGCGGGGATATGCTCATGTTCAGGCATTCACAGAGGAAGATGCACGACAGCGTGATGCACATATGGAGATTCTCGCATCGAGTAACAGTGTTGTGTGGTCTTCTCTCCTGTTGCTGGCGGCAAGTCCCGCCACCGTGCCAGCACAGCATTCTGGGTGGCGATAGCTCGAGTGGTGGAGAGCCGTGGTGAGGATCAGGATGATGATGCTATCGCTATCTCCTGTGAGGCAGTTTTTTGGGGTCCCCGGGGGCAGTCTTGGGGCCGTCATTGTCTGGAGGCCGTCTTGGGCCGCCAAATGGTTTTCCAAGGCCGCCTTGGGTTCCACGGGAGGCCTTCTTGGAAACCTTTTGGGCCATCGTGGGCTTTCCTGGGCCATTTTGGAACCGTCTCTCGGGCCTCGTGGGCCGTCATCGTGGAGGCTCCTTGGGCCGTGTTGAGCTGACGGGAAACGGGACACCAACGAGCTTGGTTTCTTCAGATTTTGGTGGGGGTCTTGTTGTGGCCTTTGAGGCCCTCTTGGAGGCGTAGTCGGCAGTCTTGACGCTATATTGGGCCGCCTTGGGGCCACATTGGGCAGTCTTCGAGGCATCATGGGCCATCTTCGTGTCTTTGGTTTCCTGCATGAGCCGTTTTGGAAGCTCGGTATGCCGTTCCATTGTTCCTTAACGGGGGATTGTGGCTTCGGGAGTACGGATCCATCGTGTTGTACAAGGGATCGTAGCTTCGGGAGGGGGTTGGGGGCTGCATGCGGATAGACGCACGTAGGGGGGGTCCCTTGTTAGAATGCAGAGGCCTTGCCAGACAGCCCTTGGCATTCTGCCACGCCTCAACGTGCACAAGGCATGGTGGCGGACCCTCCTCCTCCTCGCCATCCCCCTCATCCTTGATCCTGCCGACGCGCACACAGCCAGGGCAGGTTTGTTGAAGCGAATCGTCTCCAGCCCGATGACCTCTCGGCTGGGAGGGGACATCGCCATGAACCAGTAATGGGCAGCGTGGGACCTCGACCCATTGTCCCGTATACCAAGGTGTAGGTAGCAGGCTGATATCCTTTACAGGGAGTTGCCACGGACATCGTTTTTCCCCGCCCTCCTCAGATTGCCCATCACACCTTCCCACCTCCTCTTCAGCCTCCCCCTCCCCAATTCACCCCCCCTCATCATATTTGCAATGTTCCCTGAACCTCCCTCCCGTGTGTCCCCCGCCTCCTCCTTCCTTGTTCTCCGTCTTCACTCCTCACAATCGTACTGCTGCTTCCTCCCTCGTCACTCCTCACCACCCACCAAACCACCCCAACCCAACCCGAAGGCTCAGATTTACCCTCGATTTCCAGTGGGGGGGGTCGGGAAACATCGAAAAAACACATGTGGAACCCTTACCCCCCCAACCCGAAATTCGGGTCTTCGGGTTGGGTTGGGGTGGTCTGGTAGGTAGTCAGTACTGCTGCTTCCTCCCTCGTCACTCCTCTTTCCTCCCTTCTCCCCGCTCCTCCTCCCGATCACTGCCTCGACCAGGTCGACCCGTCGGGCCGCGCTCTTCTCTGGGGCCGCCGTGGCCGTGCAGCTCCAAGGGAAGGCTCCTGGGCAGGCTCGGACCTCCCCTCCCATACACCTTAGGCGATGCTTAAGACAACTTGAGTTTTCGGCCAGAGTCTCGATTATTCTTAACGTTTCAATGTAAATCCTAAGTTTTTCATTGAAATGTTGGGTTTGTATTCAAGATCTGAGACTATGAATTTCTTAACCCATGATTTCTAAAGCATTTCGCAGGGTGTACCTCGATACCCAGACGCAAGCGGACGCCCGCTGCCAGGAGGAGGAGGAGGAGGAGGAGGAGCCCTGTCAGGTGTGCTTGACTGCGGCTTATCCCCAGCAGGTTTTGTCCATTCCATTCCTTCCCCAACCCCTCTTCCCCTGGATGTCCCCTGACAGGTTTCTGGCGGGGTGCCCGCCGATGCATCAGCGACACGGCATACTTTCTCCACGACGGCAACGGCGATGCATCGGCGATACGGCGCGACCCCCTGACCCCATCTTCTCGGACCCCATTGGGGAGGCCTTCGTTCCAGGCATGTCCCCCCTCGCGGAGGGGCCTTGGAGATTCCCGAGGCCCCCCCAAACTGAAAATTGAAACAATACAGGAAATATCCTCGGCCATCCACCCTGGTTTCTGCCTTCCTTTGATCCCTCCTCCCCTTCACCTTCCGCCCCCATCGAGCCCTGCGTCCCTCCTACCCGCCCCCCCTCCCGAAGGAGGCCCGGCCTGGGATGGGCGGGACGTTGTTGTTGTCGTCGCCCAGCGGTTCGTCCGCCGGAGCGGGCGAGGAGGCCGCATCCGCCGCCTCACCGCGTGGGTGAGGGAGGCGGGGGAGGTGGAGGGCATGCTTGTGCATTTGGTTGTGTATAGCTTCCAGAGGCCTCCGACCACTCCACCTCCGTCGGTGTGACGGTGTAAATCCCGATGCGCGTTTCTTAGATTTCGGCATTTGTGGTGTTTTCTGGGCTGGCCAGGGACTCGCGATGACAAAAGTCCTTTTGGGGCACGGGTCTGTACATTTATCAGTTGAACACATTTGGACATCTTGTGGACTCCCGAACTTACTCGTACTTTTGTTATGTTTTGTTTTGGCCTCAGTGGGTCTTGGGGCCCGCATTGTGCAATATTGGACCGTCTTAGATTGATGTCGCGTGCAATGTGAATGCTTCTGGGGCAGATCAGAAGCCCTACCCTTGAGAAAAGCACGGGGAATCAAGTGTCTTAGTGAAGGACCCAAGCATACGCAGCTGCGGATATCGCGACTGGGGTGAGACGACGTAGGGAGGCCACGAAAAGTGTGAGGGGTGCACCGAAATGGGCACGGTGCCGCCATGCGGACTCTGTCATCGGGGCCTTTGGCGGAGGTCTCTCTAGGGGGGCCACGAAACGTGTGAGCGGTGTGCCGAAAGGGTGCGGTGCCGCCATTCGGACATTGCCACTGGGGCTTTCGGCGGAGGTCTCAGTGTGGCCACGAAACGTGTGATTTGTGTGCGAAATGGGTGCGGCGCCGCCACGCAGACGCGGCCACTGGGGCCTTCGGCTGAGCTCCCTATGGAGCCACGACGCGAATGAGGGGTGTGCTGAAACGGGTGGAGAACCGCATGCGAAATCCCCTTCCTGGAGGCGTCGCTGGAGCTCCATATGGGGCTACGAAACGTGTGCAGGGTGTGCCGAAGTTGGTGGAGAACCGCATGCGACCCGCCCCCCCCCCTTCTGGGGGCTTCGGTGGAGCTCCCAACTGGGCCACGAAACCTGTGAGGGGTGCGGAGGACCATATGCGCAATCCCCTCCTGAGGACTTCGGTGGAGCTGCCTATGGGGCCATGACAAGTGTGAGTGGTGTGGAGAACCGCATGCAAAACTCCTTCCTGAGGGCTTCGGTTAAGCTCCCCAGAGGGCCACGAAACGTGTGAGGTAAGTGGAGGACCACATGCGTAACCCTCTCCTGAGGGCTTCGGTGGAACTCCCTGTAGGGTCACGAAAAGTGTGAAGAATGTGGGGGACCACATGCGTAACCTCCTCCTGAGGGCTTCGGTGGAGCTCCCCATGGGGCAACGAACAGTCTGAGGTGTGCCAAAATGCGCGCGCGGAGGGCAGAGGCATTGATGGGGAGGAGGGACGAGGAGAGGAGAGGAGGAGAGGAGAACGCTATGCGCCGTCTCTTCAAAACGGGGACCCAACACCACAGGATGGTTGTCAACAACACTTCGTGTGCTTCAATGACTTGGGCGTCCCATGAAGAATCTCGGAGTCAGAGGTGCCCTTGTATCAGATTCGTTACACTCCATCCGATGACAGATCTTTCGGCACAGCTTCTGCGCATGGCGCGGCTGCATCTGTGACCGACATGCAAATTTTAGAATATACCGGCGCCTCTGGAGGCCGTGTGGTCTCGTCATGGATTTGTTGTGACCTTTTTGGCGACCTACATCATGGACTGATGTGTGGCTCTCTTTGGGCCGTCTTGGAGGAGAAGTTTCGGGGACATCTTGGGCCGTCTTGCGGTCTCTTATGGCTCGATTCGGGATCTGCGGTGCTGCCTTGGAGCGAAAAAGCGTGGAAGTCAACAAGCACATGCAAACTTCCGGAAACCGCCACGATGTTAAATGATTTGGGAAGTTTGTGTTTCTTGTTGGGGCCCTCTTAGGGCGTTTGGGTCCTTTTCGGAGGCCTCGCGGAGCCTCGGGGCCCTTGTGGGGCCTGGGCCATTTCGGCCTCACTTTGAGCAGTCTTATGCTTTCATGACGCATATTTGGCCTGTCTTGGCGCCGTCTGGGCCTGCTTTGGGACGTTCCCCGGTCTCTTCGGCAACCTTGGCAGCGTACCGGGGCATCTTCGAACGCATCCGATTGTTGGTGGTGGCGAGTTGGGCCCGAAAAGCGGACGGAGTACGCAATCGGCGGCAGAAGGCAATCAGCCTATGGATTTGCATGGGTGCGGGTCGGTGGTGGAGTGAACAGAATGTCGGCTACCATTTGGTAATGCCCACTGGCCATGTGGTAATGTCTGCGGATAGGGGGCAGCGGGCCTCAAAAGAGGTCGGCCCTTTGCCAGAGCCCCCCTTTCTTTGATTGATGTGTGGCTTGGTTACAGGCTGGTCGGTTACTACCTGCGCGTCTCACCTTAGGGCCTTGTTCGACAGTCTCGTGCAGTCTTGCGCCCGCAAGCGCCTTCTCTGCAGGCGGTCTGGTGGAGGCTGGTGGGGCCGGTTGTAATATTGTGGGGTCATTCTGAGGCCACATTCACTGGTGGCCAAGTCGCAGGATACCTGAGCAAGTAGATCGGGCCCTCATTGTATAGCAATGAGGGAGCAGTTCGGCCATGATTTTATGAGCCGTTGCTGGCACACAGTAAGACCGTGGCATCATGTGGAAATGTAGGCGACGGGAAGTGGAAAGCGCTTACTAGAGTAGTTTTTGAGAAGGGTTTACGACCAGAGCGCCTGGTCTGGGTGGTCGGTAAAACGGCGCGTTCGGAGAGCAGTTGGTCTGGAATTTGGCCTCATAGCCTAGCGTTCAAGGGGGGGAGGGGGGAGCAGGACGACCAGAGTACCAAGTCCGTTGGTGGTTGAGCAGCGTGATTGCCACAGGCTGTGCCGCGAAGAATCAGAACATGCCCATCTGCCATATCAGTAGCATGAAATGCCCTTGCTGACCTAATCAGCTGCCAAGGAATCCGTGACTCGCATTCAGGTTTTCGCCTTACGGAGAACTCACTTGCCAGGTAAGTTGCTCAGCACTGTTGTGCCGAGCAGTATCGGCAGGGTTTGCACTCGTCCACCGAGGTTTAGGTATTCCAGATCATGGGAGCACTTCCGATACCGTTGTTCCAGCGTCTGGCTCGCATGTGCTATGCCACGGTGGCCCGGCCCTGGCGACAATGAGCGTTCTCCAGTCTCTCATGCATGACGGGAGGACTAGGTCGCTGCGAGTCCTGGACCATCTGAAGCTGCCGACAGAGAAGGTGTGTATTGATATCAAAACGTCTGAGAAGCATGGCGTGTCATCCGGGCAATGAACATCCGAGAAGCCCCGCGGATTGCAATCGTTGTGGATGCTGGGCATCACAGTTTCGCGAGTGTCGACGACGCAGATCGCCGAGAGTCTGATTGCGTTTTTTCAAAGCACATGGAATATGCTGACAGTCTCAAATTGATATCCTCAACACTGCCCTACCATCAAAAACGCTTGGGAATGATGTTCAGTTATCGTTGCCCGCGTTGAGGAAGTCGCGATGAGGCGATGAGTCTTGCGAACTCCCTCGCGTCCTACAGCATTCAATCTTTTCAACGCAATGGACGCTTTGGGAGCAGTTGTAACGAAGGCCATTGAAAGGTGGTGGGAGCTTTCGCAGCCGCTGCAGAGGGACTGCTTGAGGCAGATGTCGCTGACAACCGAAGGATCGGCCGAGAGTTCGCAAGGAAAAAGTGCGCGTCATGACATCATGTAACCCGGGGTCGTTCGCTACTGCCGGCTACGGCACTGCGCTGTGCGTCGTTCGGGCGTTGCACGAGCGGGGACCGTTGGAGGAGGTGGTCGTGTTGGAGACGCGGCCGTACAACCAGGGCGCGCGGCTGACCGCATTCGAAGTCGTCGAGGAACGCATGCCAGGACGGCTCATCTCTGATAACATGGTTGCCTCCTACATGAAGAGGATTGGTTGCGATGCAGTAGTCGTAGGAGCCGACAGGGTCTGTTCCAACGGAGATACTGCAACAATATCGGGACGTGCATGCTTGCCGTGCTGGCGAAGCACCATGGCGTTCCGTTCTACATGGCCGCCCCGTTGACCAGCCTTGACCTGGAGATGAGGAGCGGGGAAGGCATCACAATCGAGGAGCGAAAGGTTGCCGAGCTGCTCGAGAGATCCGGGGCCCTTTCGGACATTCCGGTCTGAAGAACTCAGCATCCGATGTCATCCTTGGGGAGCTCACCACCGGAGTTTTGACAGAACTTTGTCTTGTGGAGCAGCGAGACCGCGCCGTCGACTGCAGGTTTCGTGGCTGCGAGCGCCTCCAAGCGGCGCCGAATCTAGGCCCACCTCTGGGCCCTGTGGCCACTGCTCCGTCACACAGCTTCGGGTCTCCCCCCCTCGTGCCTCCCTTTTCTTTTTTCTTCCCGCATCTTTCAATCCCTCTCCGTCCTCCTTCCGCCTCCTATAGGTACCGCCTCCCGCCCTCCAAGCCCAACTTCCCTCCCCTCGTCGCTCCTCTCCTTCCCCCCGCCCGTTCTCTTCATATCCTGCTCCTCGCGCCTCCTCGTCCTGCTCTTCCGATTCCCTCCCCGGCCCCACCCTCGCACTGACCCTCTCACATTTCTGTTCCTTCCCCTATCCCTCCTCCAATCTCCATCCCCTCCCTCACAATTCATTGTCCTCAGTTCGTCGTCTCTCTCTCCAATATCCTCCCTCGCCTTGCTCCCTTCATCCCTTCATCCCTTCATCGTACTTCCACCTCCGTCCGCGCACCTACCTGTCCCTCCCCCTTTCTCCACCTCGCTGTCCGTCAAGCCCTGTGCTGCTCTCCGGGTCGCCCCCGGGCTGGCGGCCTCCAATGAATTGCTGCAGCTGCTGCCAGGTCTGGGCCGCGGGCGGCTGGCGCGCTGCAGCTGCGCGCGCGGCGGCGGCGCGCTCCCTGTTCCTCGTCGACGTGACGGCCGCGAGGAGTCAGGCGACGATGTTCGGCATGGACGCGCTGCTGTCAATGTCAGGGCCCCCTTTCCGTCCGCTGAATGCGTTCGTCGGCATGGGCTCCCTGGTGGCGCTCATTGCGGGCAGCTGGCCGCCGGGCTGCCGGCCGCCGCGTGCCGCGCGGGATGCCCGCTGTGGCGGCGCCTCGCTCGTCCGAGTCCGTGCTGCCCCTGCCTGGGGAGCCTTTCGAATTCCTCGGGGGAGGTCCCGACCGTCCTCCGTTTTTTCCTCGCGGTGCTTGTCCCCGACGCGTCGGCGTTCATCTACACGGCACTTGGACCTGGAGGCCGTTTACCTCCACGACATTTGCCTCTTTCCCGCCGTCCCTGCCCGTCTGGGAGGCGCCGTCGCTGCTCTTGCTCGTCCGCTTGCTGTTCCACGTCGCGAAGACCTACCGGGTTCAGTGCTTCGTGTTCGGCGAGGCACTTGGGGAAAATCGTTGGGCCGAATCGTTCTCTCTCCTGGTCACCGCCGTTTTGGGGAGTCTGGCATCCGACGTTCACTTGTTATGATCATGTGGGTGGTCGCCCATTCTACGCCGGCCTCCTAATCGACATCTTCGGGGACGTGCTCTTGGGTGCCTGTGCGATGCCTCCCGCGCGATTTTGGCTGCGCCGCCCCCTGTCCCGCTCCGCGGCGGGCGCTGTTCAATTCGCTGTTTTTCCGTAGTTGCTGCGCGGCCCGCCACTGCTTGCTCGGCGTTCGACTTGGTTTCGCGCGCCCGCGTGCCAAAAAGATACCCCCGCCAGCCAATCCAGAAACGACGCCCAGGGGGGCGAAGTGATCGGGGAAACGGGCGGGCACGCAGAAGAACAACGGGCGGGGGGAACCGTCGCATACCCCAAGAGGAGGATGGAGGAGGAATCGTCTTCGTTGGAGGAGGGGTGGTAAAAAGAGGAGGAGGAGGAGGAGGGCGAGGAGGGAGTAGGATAGCGCGGGCGAGGGGGAGGATGCGGAGGAGGAGGAGGAGGAGGAGGAGGAGGAGGAGGAGGAGGAGGAGGAAGAGGAGGTGAAAGTGGGGGAGGTGGAGCGAGGAAGGGAGGAAAAGGCAGAGTAGGCGGAAAAAGGAGGAGGAAAAAGAGGTGGATGAGGAGGAGAAAGGCGAACCGAAGAGCCAGAAACCTCTTGATTTTTTTTGTTCGGAGTCTCCTCGGATGTCTATGGGAAGCTTGTTGGATGTCGGTTGAAACGCCAGGGGAAGCTCTTCGCGGGCCCAGGGCCGTCTGTGATTGTCCTGGTTACCTCGGGGATCATCTTCAGGCCGTTTGGGGGTCTCTTGGGAACTTTTTGGAGCCGTGTTGGCGCCTCTTGGAGCCCTCTCGGGGCGCTCTTGGGAGCTTTCGGGGTGCTTCTCGGGCCACTCTGGAGGCATCGATCAAACAAGAGGGGAACTCAAATTAACACACCCCTTCGGGAGCCCCAGCCATCGCCTCTTGGGGCGTTCTTGGGGCGCTCTTGTAGCGTTCTGTGGCGCCTTTGGGGCCGTTTGGGGGTTCACTTGGGCCTGATTGGGGGCCTTGTTGGCCCGTTTTGGAACAGGATTGAAGCCCCGGATAACCATCAGAAGCGAAAAGGTGAGAACACAACGCACGTGGATCTTGTTTGGGTGTCGGACGTATGTTGGCCTCTTCCGGGCTTCCTTGGGGAGTCCCGTGGCCACTTGAAGCCGTCTTGGAATTTTCTTGGGGCACGTTGGAACATGTTGGGAACCACCTTGGGGCACCTTGCGCTATCCTGATCCATCTTGGAGGCCATAGTTGGCTTCCTGAGGCCCTCTTGGAGCCGTGTTGGGCCGTGTTGGACGCGTCGTTCGCGGACCCCCCCGTCCAGGTCCAGGGGAGGGGGTAGGGGGAGGCGGTTGGTTGCGCAGGTTCAGAATTTGGAGGCAGAATGTGTTTTGTAATGTTTTTTGCAAGGGATGGTGGGGGGGGGGGGTCGGCATGGACCCTGGTTGGCCCCCAGTCGCCTGGGGGAGGGGGTGTCTATTAATAGGGAACAGTGATAAAACCGTCCCCGAGGAGGAAGAAGGGGTGTCGAAGACGAAACGCCTTAGGCCACCTACGCCCAGAGGGCTGGTGGGATGTTGGAAAACCCACAAGGGACGAACGACTTCTGAACATTTGTGCATTCGAACCTCGGCCTTAGTCATATTCGGTTAATCCTCTTCTTCTTGCCCCCTTGGAGGTCACCCGTCGACCTTGTCTTGGCGAGCCTTCTTCTTATAATGTCGGACAGATCCAGCCATGACGACGAGAAGCCTCCCAGACGCCAAACACGAGTGATACGCATTCGAACAACAACATATATCCTCGATCTTCGATCATCATCCCCCTATTTATTTTCCTCGCTTTCCGTTTTCCCCCTCCTCCTCATTGCCCCTCTTTCTCTCGCTCCTTCCCCCCCGTGGAAGATGAGGTTATGCATCGATCAGATCAACCATTCGATTCACGACTGAGTGACGACGCGGTTTCTGTCAGCACGGCCCGATCCCACCCAGGGCAGCTCTTAGGAACACTTTTCTGCGCCTTGCTTGAATGAGAAACGAGAGGGAGACGCCTCGTCCTCCCTCTCTCTCTCTCTCTCTCATTTTCCCTCCTCCCCTCCTCGGTTCCCCTCTCCCGCTGTTTCCTCCCTCCTGCACTTCTTCCTGCCCCCACTGCTCCCTCGACTGTTCGCTCCCTCGCCCCTGCCCCCCACATCCAACCCCGAGCCAGGCCTGCGGTTTCGTGCTCCAACAACTCCGCGGGGGGCGCTGCGCTGAGCGCCGGGTGGCGCGGGTCGAGGTGCCCCTGGAGGCCCCCCCCGCGCGTTTCGAAGGAGTCAGGGGGATGAGGAGGGGCATGGACCTGTGACGCTCGCGGACCGAGGAGGGACGACCAGGCCCGAACACACGCACCCTGTCCTACCCTTGCGTTGGCTTCGCCTCCGCGCGCCTTCGTCCTCTGAGGCTTGGCCGTCCCGCTGCCGCTGCCGTTTTCCCGCTTCGCTGGCTGCTTTCCCCAGTGACCTCGATCGGACGCACCCTGTGTGTCCGCAGCACTGTGGCCCATTCAGGCGAAGATGGCTGAAGCAACTTTAACCACAAGCTGGCTTATGGCACGATATGGTGCGTGACTGGTACGTCCTGACAATCGTAAACCGTGCCAGAACATCGTCCCTGGGACTTCATCATCACGAATCAACGTGTCTGTTGCGTCCGGGCAATCTTGAATTGAAACAGAATGCTTTCCGGATATTTTGACCATTGGATTATTCGATTCCGTTGCAAGTTTTGACAAAACAGTGATTAGCGCTAAGGCGAGAAGGCGCATTGAAAAGGAACCGCCCCCCCATCACATGCGCGCTGCGCTGAAGCAAGAGCTACATTTTGAAAACGGGCCGCCCTCCATCCGTAAAGTTGTTGCAAAGTTTTGAAGAAAAAAAAACGCGCGGCGCTGAGGCGAGCGCCCCATTTTGAAAACGGGCCGCCCTCCATCTTTGCAACGGTTGGAAGCGTGTGTAACGAATGTGCGCGGCGTTGTGACGAGATTGTGGAGTTGTTGCAAAGTTCAAGCTTTAGGATTTGAATAGTGTGGGAGTCTCAAACGAAACGCCCCGCCAGCCCTACCGACACGCTTGGGGGTGCGACAAGGAACAATTGTTCAAAAGGAGATGGGATGGAGGAGGAGGACGGGGGAGGAGGAGGAGGAGGAGGAGGAGGAGGAGGAGGGAAAAGGGGAGGATCACCAACATTGTGTGTGTGGGGGGGGACCATAACGGAGGTATGACGGAGGGGAGGAGGGGGAGGAGGAGGCAGATCGAGGGCAAACGGCAGGATTTGCAGGGGCTCGCCAGCAGTGCGTAGCATGATTCTCGGGTCGGCCCTGTTTGATGTTTGGGGCGTGCGGTGCGTTTTGGAGAAAAAAAAACAAGAAACGAGTAATACCAATCATAATAATTACCACCATATGTGATCTGACTAATGAAAATCAGACGAATACTGTGAATCCTGATAGTAACCTGTAACCTGGATCAGAATACGAAGAAAGGAAGGAGGGAGGGATGATGGATATGGGGGGAGGGATGTAGGAGGAGGAGGGGAGGAGGGAAACGAAAAGGAGGAGGACAAAGCGAATGAGGAAGAGGAGGAACAGTTCCTTCCTACCTCCTGCCTTTCCTCCCCATGCTCCGCCTGGTCCTCTCCCCTCCTGCGGTTTCGTGTGTTTGTGGGGACCCCCCGCCCACCTCGCGCCGCGCCCACGCGCGGCCCCCGGGCGCAGGCCGTCCTCGCGCGCTGCGAGTACACGGCCCCTGCCGAAAGGCCGCCTCTTCGGGGTGGTGGTCGTCGTTGCCGCCGTGTTCGTCGTCGTCGGGCATCGAGGATGGAGGCTCGAGGTGTTTGGGCGGCTTGGGGGGCCTTTTTTGCCCCCACGGCGGGGGGCCGCCTCCATCGCCTGCCCCGAGGGCGCGGGCCGCGCGCGCCGAGGGAAGGCGTCGTGTCCCAGGCCGCTGCCGCCGCCGCTTCGTGCCACATCGATTGGCGGCGGTAGCGACGACATTGGCACGGTCGTTATGCACAGCTGCTTGTGCTAAAGAAGTCGCTCGCCCGCCCGCCCTCCCTCCGGTCGGCCGGCCGGCTTGCACATCAAACGCTAGTTCATGTGAGCAGCCACGGCGAAAGTACATCCCTTACCAGGCGCAACGTGGGACCACTACTACGAGAACGAACACATCAAGAACCGCAGCCTGTCAACAGGACCAATGTAATGCCCGAGTCCATGATGAATGGGCATGGTGTTGGCTATTATCTGGTCTTCCCATCACGGGATCAAGAAGTTGCGTTTCATGCCTCGAAGGTGGATGCACCAAGTAATGTGGGATGACGATTAATAATGACCGGGGGTCGTCTGGTGTCGGCGGCGCCCGAGAGGATGAGTAGAAACAAATCTGTCGCGGGCTGGGGGATGTTTTAAAATCGCTCCCTCTGCCGTCGTTGCAAAAACATACGTTGACGTGGAGTGTGTAATTGACGTCGAATGAGCATTCGGCATAATGCATAAAGCCGACATGGAACGAGCATTTGAACGTAACGCTTGGAGCAAACGTAGAATCCGCATGTTCAAAACAGTGGCGAAGCGTTTTGGCTCGCCTATAGCCCCACAAAAAAAACACGTTCTAAGAATCTTCTTGTGGCCTGCACGGAATGTTATTCGAACATGTCTGGCTGGGACAGTCGCGTTTAATCACATCAGGTTCATTTCAGAAGGAAATTGTGTTTTGTTGTTCGACCCAGTTTGTTTTCTAATGACATTCCGAGGTAGGGCTAGGAATGCCATTGCCGGGGCGGTCGGTCGGAAAATTTGAAGTCTATGCCGAATGATTATTCAACGTAGAATTTGGCGACGACGTCAAATTCGCACTCGACGCAATATCCGGAGCCGGTGCGCAATCGATATATTTATTTTATATTGTTTCCGCCCGTTGAAAACCATATAGAAGTCGAAGGAACGATTTCTTGATCGCCCCCCCCGCATGTTCTATTAATCACGACCCGACAGCAATTGGGGGCAATGCCGATTCTGAAAAGAAATCCAGAAGATCGGCTTCGAGCCTCCTCTGCTGCGCTCGGGGCTCCGACTCGTCTTTTTTGTTTTGTTTTTTGAATATAAGCATGAGTTTCCCGCGGACGTCAGGGGGGCGCGCCGGCGGGAGGGGGCCGCGGCTGTCGCGACGCGCCGCGAGCGGGCGCAGACATGGCGCAGGCGGGGCATTTTATCTTGGGCGAGCGACCATAGCCGCCAGGCGCCCATCATCCCCGCGCAATGTGCCCGTTCGAATCAAGACATGCGCGATCGCGCATCCGTCTCGTCGGAAGAGGGGCCAGTCAAGTCGACTCCCCGCCTAGACCGGGGAACTGCTGATGAGTCGCGCGGGGGGGGGGGGGGGGGGGCGTCCGGCGCCCGTCGCCTCGGGTCGCCCCCGACGTCGGTTCACGAGTCTTAGCCGACGTCAACATCTCGCGACGACGGCGTCGCGGAACCGTCGCGGGGAAGCCCGCGCTGGGAAATGGCGGGGGCGACGGCCCCCACGCCCGCGGCCGCCCAGGAGAATGCCGAAGAGGCGGCCGGGCTGAGAGCGCATGCGGCGGAACGGCCGCGGGGGGCCATCGGTCGCGCAGTCAGATCACTGCTCGCGCAGCGGACCGAGACGGAGGGACTTCCAACGGAGAACCACCGGGCGGCGGAACAGGGGGGCGACCCCGGGGCCACGCTCCCAGGTCGCCTCTCCCGCCAGTTAGTCCGCAGGGGACATCGCGCGCTGGGCGCCTGAACCTCGCTGCAGCGAGGGCCCCTGCCCCCCGCGCTCGCTCGCCGCGGGCCATGGGCGCGGGGCCCGACCGACGCCAGACCTCGAGGGCCCCGTGGGGGCGTCGTCGCCCCCCGCTCGCGCGGCGCCGCCCAGCGCGTCGAGTTCCCGCATCAATGAGTCACGCGCCAGTGGAGGCCCAGGGCGCGCGGCGTTCCCTGGGCGCCGCTGCCCGGGGATTCGGGGACAGTGCACGGGGGAAGTTAGTCGCGCGCACTCGGTCAGCTGCCGCCACTGCAACTAATGTTCCTTTGCGCGGACTCCCCCCCCCCTTCCCGCGATAACTGCACGGCGCCGCGCAGCCTCGAAGGGGGGGGGGGGGAACAAAGGGGGGGGGAGGGCGGGGTGCCGCGGCCGCAGAATGGGGCCAGGAGATGGCGCGAAGCAGAGACCTGATCTTGAGAACCGAAGTTCAACGGCGCGCAGCAGCTCGCGCGCGGGCGGAGAACGACCGCATCGCGATGATTCGCGCCGCGGAGCAGGGCGAAGAAAGGCTGCAAGCTGTCGCCTCGGAGCAGGCGACGCCAGCGTCAGCAGAGACCTGTGCACTTGCGAGCAAGGTCGAGTCCTCGGCAGCCGCCGAGGCGCGCGCCGGGCCCTCGAGCAGAGCATCGCAGAGGAGGTTGGTCGAGCGCGTCGCCCGGGGGCCGGGGGGCCCAGCAGCTGACGACGACAGGGGTCGCTGAAGGGCGCAAGTCGGCTGTGGCGGGCAGTGTTCTCTGCGGGGCGGAGGCGAGTCGGCGGTTCAACGGGCCCAGGGTGATCGACTGACCGCCGAGGCCGTCGCGGGCAAGGCGTCGGCCGGGGGCGCAGAGGCGATGGGGCGCGCGCGCGGCGAGGTCAGCGCCGCCCGCCAGCTGGGGCAAGTCATTGCCCCAGCAGCAAGAGCGAACTGCTTTGGCGCTGCCGTTGAAGTTCGCGACGCACTAGAGAGGGGGCAGCGGGCGGTGCAGCGGGCGGACGACGAGGTGGGCACCGCGGCTCGGAATGCCGAGAAGGGCATCGCGGCCCACGGAGAACCGGGGCGCGCAGCGCGAGCACTTGCGCCGGCCGCGGGCCGAGTTTCGCGCGCTGCGGCAATTGGAGGAGCAAGTTCTTGCGATAAGTCTTGGAGCGGCTTCGGCCGCCTCGGCCAGCGCGGCCCCTCCGCGGGCGGGGGCGCCCAGGCTGGTGACGCGAGCCCCGCGCCCGGGCGGGTCAGGGCGTTCTTGTCGCAACGGAGTCGCGAGCCATGACTGCGCGCGGGCGCCAAATCTTTCTGCGGTTGTTAATGCGATGCGAATGAAAAGGAATTCCGAGAGAATGCGCGAGAAGGGGGGGGGGGGGGGGGCGCGCGAAGCGGGGAGGGAGCTCGAGGGGCGGGTCGCCCCTGATCCCCACCTGGGGCGGGGCCTTTTCACTGCCCGCCGCTGCCCTAGGCCCCCCACGACTGCGCCGCGAGAGTCTCGGAGCGCGCGGGCGGGCAGAAGGCGGGGGGCGACGCCCCCAGACGGCTGGCGGCGTTCGAAGACTGCGCCAGGGCCGAGCGACAGAGGCTCTCGGGGGCGCTCGCGGGAGCTCGGGGGAAGGGGCGCAGTCCGATTTCAGCCCTCGGGGCGTGCCGAACTCGGCCTGGCGCGCCCCGCCGTAAATCGGGGGCGCCAGCTGAAAGACTCGCGCCCGCCCGCGCGCGGAGTCCCCGCGCTGGGCCAGCCGCTGGGCGAGCCATGCAGCCGCGCCCCCTTCGCGCGCCCTGCGTTGCCGCCGCAGCTTCCTGCTGCGTAGCTACATGGGTTGGCTGCGCTAGCGACGACGATGACATCGTTATTATAAATAGCTGTTTGCGTTAGAGAGGTCGCGCGCGCGGCCGCCCCCCCCCCCCCCGGTCGGCCGGCCGGCTTATGCATCCTAGTAGAGTGCATGCGTTTGCCGATTCATTGCGGCCACGGCGGCAGGTGCGTCCTCTGCCGGGCGTCATATGGGACCGCGACCACGAGAACAATAACAGCGGTAATAGGAGCCGATCAACAGGACCAGTTTGATGCCCGAGTCCATGAATAGGCAACGTGCTTTTGTCTTCTCTGGTTTGGTCTCCGCGCGGCTTCCCATGTCGCGCGCTGCGCCGCGCGAAGTCCTTCGCGGTCTGACTGCGCCGCCACTCCTGCCCTTCCCCCTCGGCAGCTTTTTCCGTGTCCCCCGTTGCGTGGCGGGCGCTCCGCCCAGCAGCGCCCCCGCTCAAGCTACTGGTGACGTGCGCGATCTTCATCGCTGCGACGAACAGCGCGTCCTAGGCTCTAGGTCACCCCAGGGCGAGCGAAGATAATAGCGTTTCGCGCATCGCGGCTCGGGCCGGAACGCTGCCGCCATCCACGGCGTCTTCGCGAGGGCTTGAAAACAAACGCGCGTCGCGGGGCGCGACGCGCGAAGTTAGGAGGCGATCTGGGTCGCTTCCTTCGAATGCTCAGGACTTGTGTGTATGTGTTTTCCCCCAATTGGGCTTGTTCCTTCTTGCCGCCTCCGCGGCCGCTGCTACCTCGACCCCCAGCTGCCCAAGTCCCGCGTCACAAGAAACATAGAACTCGACGTTCGACCTCTTGAAAAATTAAGGGGCCCGCTGGAGTGGTGCGTGGCCAGTCATATATGGGTCCGTGATAACAAATTCCAGGCTGACCAATGGGCCCAAAACGCAATTTTCTCCATCCCGGCGTTTCCGATGTATCGACGATGCGGCACGATTTTCCGACCCAGCAACTCTGCCTCCACGTCGTGTTGTTTTTCGGCCCGTGCGTTTCTCCCACTGTTTCGGCCGCCATGGGCCCACTGGTAAAGCCCAGGGCCGTCAGAGATGATACCAAAACAGAAAATCCCCCGCGACAGGGGTCGAGGTTTCTGGAGCCCGCGGATTGCCAGAAACCGCATTGTCGGATTTCTTGGTGTATAGCAGCGCCGATTTTTGTCGGGTCGGCCCTGGGTTCA